GCGACAGGGACGCGGCCCGCCAGCGCCTGCTGGTCGCCGTGCGGGACGGGGGACAGCCGCCCCTCTCTGCCACCGCCACGCTGCACCTGGTTTTCGCCGACAGCCTCCAAGAAGTACTGCCGGATGTCAGCGACCGTCCGGAGCCCTCTGACCCCCAGGCCGAGCTGCAGTTTTACCTGGTGGTGGCTTTGGCCTTGATCTCGGTGCTCTTCCTCCTTGCGGTGATTCTGGCGGTGGCCCTGCGCCTGCGATGCTCCATCACCCAAACTGCCTGGAACTGCATTCAACCTGGTTTCTGTCATAAGATTGGACCAGGAGTTTCTCCCACCTATAATCCTGAAACTTTGCCTTATTCCTACAATACGTACATTGCCTCCGATTCTCAGAAAACACGGCTTAATTTTCTAACTATGACGTCAGAAATGGGTCCCCGAGGAGATCTCTCTAATGAAGCTTCTTTGGTAATAAGTGTCACTGAGGAGAATAACAAATTAAGCTCTAACGCTGCTGCTGCTTCTGCCCATGTGAGTTTCAATACGTAGATTTGGTTTTTAATTTTAAAACTATTTTGGCAAAAAAATCTTAAATCATATGTTCTATCACTTCGTTTGCCCACTCAATATTTTCTGTTCCTTTCTGTGTGGACCCGTAACTTCATTATTAGCCCTCAAGTATTTTGAAATATTTTGACAATTTCACCTGAGATAGTCTTTACCCCCCCCCAATCTCTTTTACTGTGAGAAGTGGGTATTATGATGTTGTTGCCACAGAAATATTTGTAGCTGAAACATAAATGTTTTCTTCCTGTGGGTGTTTACCTTTCTCAGAATATTGATATCTTGAATATATAAGGCTTCTTCTTTATAGCTACAAAGTGAGAGGAAAATGCACAAGGTTGTTTGGTTTTTTTTTAAAGGACAGAGTAATGATTTGACAATATTTAGGTATGTTTGCTAGAGATTTTTTGAATCCCCCTGAATAGGCTAATTTTCTTCTCAATCTTTTCTCAGAACTACCTGCAGATTTCCTCCCAGTTTTAAAGATACATTGTAGGGGCGCCTGGGTGGCACAGTCGGTTAAGCGTCCGACTTCAGCCAGGTCACGATCTCGCGGTCCGGGAGTTCGAGCCGATCTCGCGGTCCGGGAGTTCGAGCCCCGCGTCAGGCTCTGGGCTGATGGCTCAGAGCCTGGAGCCTGTTTCCGATTCTGTGTCTCCCTCTCTCTCTGCCCCTCCCCCGTTCATGCTCTGTCTCTCTCTGTCCCAAAAATAAATAAATGTTGAAAAAAAAAAAGAATGAAACTGGATCATTTAAAAAATAAATAAATAAAGATACATTGTGGTATGCCTGCCAAACATGCTTTTCATCAGAATCTAAATGTTTACAGTCATGAAAGCAGAGTAGCGAGAATTTTTCTTGTATTTTGGTGGGCTTTTGAATGTATTACCATTTTCAGTAATTGGAATTGGGTTTGTTACTCAGAAAAAGGTAAGTTTGTAATATTCTTTGGATTGCTAATTTTCTCAAACACTATTTTGTAATATAATGTATTAGTAAGTTGTGAAGTACTACCCTCATTTCCCGTAAATGCAAGTTGAAATGCTTCCATTTTGTCCTAAAAATGTTGATGTGTCTTACTCAGTTGACTTCTTGTCAGTGTGCTTCTGATAATGTATACAATTCCATTTCTTATTTTTAGGTTTCCATGTTGTGAAATTTTGATTTTTAAATATTAGATGTTAACAACCTATAGAACAACAATAGTTCTATATAGGTAACTTTGAGAATCTGTTAAAAAAATGCCACCTATCACAGCAAGTGAGAAAGTTTATTCTATTAAAGGATATCTGAAAACAGTAATTTCCTAGGGAGATGTCACATAATAGGTGTCTTTTTGGGGTGGTGATATCAAATTAGGTGCACTAAAATTATAAGGTTGAAATTACTTTGTATAGAAACTTCAGATTCATTTAAAAGCTCATTGAAAAAGACAGAATACACCTACAGCTACAGAAAATAATGTCAAGAAAGTGACTCTGTATGAAAAATTTTAGAGAAATAAAAATAAGCTCGGAAATAAAAATAAGCTCACTGAAGTTTCTATTAAAAGGAACACTGTAGTTTTTTACTTGGCCCTACTTCCATGCCTATTTGAAGAACAGTAGGTGGAGCTATTTAAGGTACAAAAACCAAAAATCCTCAAGATCGTGCAGTAATTCGTTAGGGCTCTGAGCACCGCTGGTCACTAATCAGGAAAAGAACAACACAGTTCCTGCTTGCCTCCTGCTTGCCCGGGAGGGGCGTGAAGCGCAAAACACAGATAGAAGCTAACCATCTCAGGATTGTGAAGAAACTGTTGCATTCTGAAGACTGGAAAAGCTGGACCTTACTTCGGTAGTCAAGGGAAGAAGTGAAAATAATCTTGGAGGAAAGTGACAATGATTCCTAGGCGACTGCAAAGGGCTTGTCTTGCTGGGAGTTCTCCTGGGGATTCTGTGGGAAACCAGATGAACCCAAATTCACTATTCAGTTCCTGAGGAGCTGGAGAAAGGTTCAGGGTGGGCAACATCGTCAAGGACCTGGGGTTGGAGCCCTGGGAGCTAGAGGAGCGCGGAGTCCGTATAGTCTCCGGAGGTAGGACTCAGCTTTTCGCCTTAAACCCCCGAAGCGGCAGCCTTATCTCTGCAGACAGGATAGACAGGGGTCTTCAAGTGTCAATTAAATCTGGAGATTCTGTTGGAAGATAAAGTAAAAATATACGAGGTAGTGATAGAAGTGAGAGACATTAATGATAATGCCCCCTATTTCCGGGAAGGTGAATTAGAAATAAAAATGAGTGAAAACGCAGCCACTGGGTTGCAGTTCCCGCTTCCCCATGCTTGGGATCCGGATATCGGGAAGAACTCTCTTCAGAGCTACGGACTCAGTAGTAATAATACTCACTTCTGCCTGGACGTGCAAAGCGGAGTGGATGGTAACAAGTATCCAGAACTGGTTTTGGAGCGCACCTTGGACCGGGAGCAGAAGGCTGTTCATCACCTGGTTCTCACAGCCTCCGATGGGGGGTGACCCAGTGCGCATAGGCACTGAGCAAATTCGTGTAATGGCAGCTGATGTGAATGGCAACGCACCAATATTTGCTCAGTCTGAGTACCGCGTGAGCGTTCCAGAGAATATGGTGGTGGGCACTAAGCTGCTTCTGGTAAGGGCCGCTGACTCTGACGAAGGAGCCAATGCGGAAGTGACATTCCTTCTGTTATGTAGACTACAATGCGGCCCCGGTTTTCAAACTAGATGCTAATTTAGGGACAATTTCAACAATAGGGGACCTGAACCATGAGGAATCGAGATTCTACGAGATGGAAAGGCAAGCAATGGATAAAACAGGATATTCTGCAGGAGCCAAAGTCCTGATCACAATATTGGATGTAAATGATAATGCCCCCGAAATAGTTGTCACCTCTCTCTCTCTCCAGCTCCATTCTGGAAAACTCTCCCAGAGGGACATTAATTGTCCTTTTAAATGTAAATGATCAAGACTCTGGGGAAAGTGGACAAGTGACCTGTTTCATCCGAGTATGTGCCATTTAAATTATAAAAGTCTTGTGGAAATTACTATACATTAGTGACAGACACACTCCTAGACTGAGAAAAGGTTCCTAGATACATCACGGTGATCGCCAGTGACAGAGGAAGTCCTCCCCTGTCCACAGAAACTCACATCTCACTGAAAGTAGCAGACACCAAAGACAACCTGCCCGCCTTCTCCGACGCTTTCTAATCTACCTATATTGCAGAGAACAACCCTAGAAGAGCCTCCATAAGGTTCCTCAAAAAATTAAAAATAGACCTACCCTATGACCCAG